TTTGATGGCCTCGAGCGGCGCGGGGGAGCGGGGGAGGTGAAGGTGCAGGATGCGGGGTTTCGGGTTAGAAGTGTCGGGCGAGTCGGGCAGGGTTCAGCAGGCCGGCTGAGCCGTTGGCATAGAATTTAAAATTCAAGACCCTGGCTTCAACAGTGCTGGCCCGGTTGCAGCGTGCTTGATTTCCAAGACTAACATGCCCTTACAAGCCATCAGGCTCTATGAGAACCCTGAGACCCCGGCTAAACTCAGAATGAGTGCCTGACAGCCAAAGACTTTCGCCAAGATAGAGTCACTTCGATCCGCAACACTAGGGACGGATCCTCTAGTTGATCGGTCTAAGAGCCCAGCCAGTTCGCAGCGACCACAGGTGTTTACTGTAGGCGTGTCAATACTTAGAATAGGGCTTTGGGGGTTCCTTGTTATATTCATGGTACAACATATACCCCAAACCCTAGTCTAATTATCAAGTCCCCTATACATTAGGACTCTGCAGACTCAAAGCCCCGAAGCTCCGCCGGCCCCCCAAAAGGGTGGTTGTCAAAATTATGGTCCCTCTTTGGGTCCCTACTATAATACGGCACCTAATATTTAGGGTACATGGACCCTTATACCCGACCCTTTTGGAACCCTTATGGATCCCTTAAAGAAACCCCAAAAGGAACCTTAATATTGACAGCCCCCCAAAAAGCAGCGCCCTGCAGTCCTGGCCCGGCAGCGCTCGGGTCGACGGCCAGGCGCTTTGGGAATCTCCAACGGGGATAGGGGAAGGGTTTAGGGGTTTAGGGTTTAGGGTCCCTTTAAAGGGATCTATAAGGGCTCCTATGGTTCAACAAGGGGCTTCTAGGTGAAGAAGGCATATGAGCCCTGGTTCTTGAACACAATGAACTGTTTGGAAAGCCAGCCCCGGGTGTTGCTCGTGTATGATGCTCATGATGCAGGGCGTGCACACACATCGGTGCTCGTGTCGTCCGTGTTTCTGCCGTTCATTGTGCTACGGCAAGCGGTCAGCGCAGTCCATGCGCTTTATGATGAGCCATTCGTGTGGCCAAGCTCGCCGGGTGTCGACACTGAAGATGCTCGTGTTTAAAGTGCAGCGGAAGGACAAAGCCAAAGCACCTTTGAAGCTCCATTTTGATTAGCGAGGCCAAGCAGGGGGGGGGGCACTTTCAGAGTTCTGGATCCAGACGCTTTTGAGGCCCGGATGCTCAGAAGATAATGACCTACCGTGAGTCTCTTCGAGCTTGGCCCTGGTGATGCCCTCTGTGGGCGAAACGCTAAGCGAATGGCTATCTTGCCAGAGCCGAGGGGCCAAGAACGGCTGATGCTTTTGCTGAACTCATGATGGAAGCACTTGGGAGGAAGACTGAGTGTCAGTGGTTTTGCGGAGACCGCGAGCAGCAATCCCCGCGCCGCAGTCCAAACCTGTGCTGCAAAACCTGCGAGTTGAGTCAAAACAGCTGCCCGTGATAATGCAAAACGTCTTGCAGCATTCCGTAGAGTGGCGGCTTCCTTAGTTGCCTTTGAACTTCTGAAGATTCAGAGGAAGAAAGCATCTGCGGGCATGTCCGCGCATGTCCATGCACTTGTATCACGCATTCCAGCATATCCCAGCATCTGAACCCCAATCCTGAAACTGCAAGCCTGAAGCAGGGCCCATAACGTGGACCTTGATGCAGCTGTAAGCGCCGTAAACCAGTCTCCAAAACGGGAATCCCGGGATTCACCCTGGGGCGCGCGCTTGAGATTCTCACCCTGCAGGAAGCAAGTCCCCGCCGAGGAATGCCGGCCAGGCCAGGTGGCTTTTGCTGTTTCCGCTTAGCAATCCAATCATTCATCAGTGTTGTAGAGGTGTCGAAGCATACACCGCAACACATGGGTGGCAATGTGATTTGGCAGCCAACAAGAAGCTTACCATCTGTACCTGCACTTGCAGGTATGCAGCTCAACGATATCTGCATCCTGCACCATGAACCATGCCATTCCCAGCACTGCATCGAAGAAGTCGCAAACACCGGACTGATAGGCCCTCACCTCCCGCCACAGCAACTATCAGCAACCGAACAAACCTTTCCCTCGCCAAGAACGTAACTCGACGACCTTCTGGTGCCGGATTCCCGGTGGCTAACAACTAAGGCACCGAGGGCTTCTTATGTTTGAGGGTTTGAGATTAAAAGGCAGCGCAAGGGTGCTTGCTGCAGTTAGGATTTTTCAGTCGGAGTTCAAACTGTTCAGGCTGAGTTTATAGGCCTGCCTGGTTGAGATGGAAGCTGGCCTGGGAACCCGACGTATTCTGGTTTGTTCAGTATCTCGAGGTACCTGGACAGGTGATCAGGTGCATAGAGGATAAGATGATCCTGCTTATGCCACCGCGATGTGCATTTTCCCATGTGTTGTTCAGTTCCTGTCAAAGGACAAGCATCCGAAGAGATTGCGACCTACGTGTAGTTGGATGTTGACCCTCAGGTGGTCATGTAGACGAGAAGCTTTGATTGGCAGGAGATCGCGGAAACGGCGGGAGAGCAAGTGTCGTCGAACTGCTTCGAAACCGAATGCCATCATATTTACCGGGTATTCTTGAGAAGTCTCCTATGCATACCAACTGGCAGAGGCAACAACTCATGTTGCAGAGCCCAGCAAGACTGTTACATACCAGCTAGCATGAGCACATTCAGCTATTTTGAACAAAGCCATTGTTTTAAGGGACCGCCTTCGAGCCGCGGCACGCCTGGTCGAAAGGCCCAGCATTGCGTTTCGCCTTCCAGTCTGGAGACCTTTTCCCGGGCCTCCCGGCCATAGCTGCGGGCCATCGTCTGTGGAGGGGGGGGAAATTGAGGAGTAGAGATCTGGGACACTGCTTGGCTGATCCACCTTATTGGCATCACGTCATATGATGTTATACGATTGCCGGTGTCATGCCTTAGAGCCGAACCAAGACGAGACATGTTCACCAGAATTAGAAGCTTTACAGTTACAAATACCTGAAATCTGAGTCGTTGGTAAGATCAAGCCTTGAGTTGCCTCGCTGCTGCAGTCAGCGGTTTCGATCGCAGTCACCGGCGGTGGCAGCGCGATGGCCAGGAGCTCGAGCATAACCTTCTCATTAAGGGACTTGCAAATTAGAATAGGTTCGAGGGGTGGGGGGCGGGGATATAAAATGTTATATGATTATACATCGAAGCTGTAAAGAAGTGCCAGCAATAGACACAGACGAGGCCGAAGAGCTTGCGCAGTCTGAAATCCCGACCACCCTGTCCCCCAAACCTCGAACTTCCTAACATAGCCCCAGGTTGGGCACGGGCACTCGAGCACCCGTGAAGATACCCTTCTTATGTGGGAGTTTCCGAAAATTAGGGGTACCATAATTGGGGGTCCTTATAATAAGGATCCTACTATTTGGGAAACTCTTATGTGGGCCCTTCCTGGCTCGGCCGTCTGAGGCTCCCTCCGAGCCGGAGGCTGAGGCAGAGCCCAGCCACCGAGGAGCGGAAGACTTTTACGACAGCCCCGGGGCCGCAGGAAGGGTTTAGGGTTTAGGATTTGGGGTTTAGGATCTGGGGTTTAGGATTTAGGGTTTAGGGTTTAGGATTTAGGGTTTAGGGTTTAGGGTTGAGGGTTTAGGTAGAGTTTAAAGGGCGGTTCATGAGTTTGTGGTGTTTGGAAGTTCAAGGGCTTAGGGCCGAGGGAGAGGGAATAGGCTGCATTATAAGATGTTGAGTCTGAGGATGGGTTTTAGGATCTCGGGTCTGTTACGCGCTTCCGGCTTTGATAGAATTTAGGGATCAGGGTTTGGAGTCGAGAACTGTCGTGGAGGGTCCAAAATCCTCACTGCATTCCACATGTTATATTGCCTTCACTGTTTCTTGAGTCGGCTGACACGACCAAACCAGATACCGAAGAGCCTCCACTCAGGCTGCTGCTTTCCGATGTGTACCCCCGACTGTTGTACACGCGAGCCCCGCTTCGTTGCACTAAGGTCGCGAGGCAGCGCCGGCAAGTTTGCAGAGCTCCAGGGTTGAGTCGGGCTGACGTTGAGACTCGACTTCTTGCCGAGGCTTTCTGGTGACCCCCGAAACTCCCGTTATTCGGCTCTCTTTACCTTCACGCCACTCCCTGCTTGTTACGTCGCGTGATGCCCAATCCCATTCCCTGGGCCAGTATGCTGCGCAAGTCGCCGCTGCAGCCGCGGCCGGACAGGAGCCTCATATATGTCATTACATAATCAGTTAGCTACAGCGGTGTGTAATTAAATATAGTTAAATGCTTTTAGCTCGACCTTGCTTGCTGTGAAGAGACAATGTACGGGCATCATACCAAGTAAGACAGCCACGGCCCAACACCGCAGAAGCAGTTGCAGAGCTTGCCACTAGAAATGCCAGTGGTGTCCTCTGTCAGAACGGTCTGTCACCTGGTTCGTGTTGTTATTGTTACTGACTATGATTCTTTCTTTCTTTCATGAGGCTATGTGTCCATGTACGAACGCGCCTATTGCACAGATGAGTTCTATGGCAAGTGCAGACCCCCAGTTTGCGCTCGCGAACTACTCAGTAGTGCGCGGTGCAGTAATCTGGGCAATCGCACTTAACGGAGGAAGAACCACAGAGAGCGAACTGGCAGCGCCATGCGCAAAAGCCATCTCCATGGAGCACATCCCCGTACAAAACCAAAATGACAACGTCTCACAGAACAGCCGTTCTCCAGCGCTAAACTCAATAAGCGGCGCATGGAGCATTTGAGCTTTTCCAGCCCTACACTAACCAAAAAGGGGGTCTTGATCAGACTCCTATGCGGGAGGTACCGCAACTGCAGACAACTTGCTCAAGCATATCCTCACGGAGTCAGATGAGGCGAACTACGAGCAAGACTCCACGCAGCAGAGATTCAAACGTCACTGCGCCACTATACACTACCCTGAGCCTATTCCTCTCGGGATTGGAAGAGGCAAACTGCACGGCTAATCCCACACAGTTTCAACACTGTGCCCACTCTTCTGTACGAACTACTCAGGGGGCAATCAGCTCAGAAGTATTCCCCACTGGTACTCTTGTCCCACTCGGCTCCCATCGGTACTTGTTGTCGACGGAGTCAGTGGCCTCGGACTTGTCGATCCTCGGTACCCCATCGGCGCTCAACCTCGCCGTCGATGCTGGCGGGAATCTTGGCCAAGCGGACCAACATCTCCCCGCCCGATTCGTGTCCCTGCCCATCGGCATCAGCTTGAAAATCTCCTTAACGATGTCCGCTTTCCTCTTGCCCGCCTCATCATTCTGGAAGCGGAAGAAGAGCTCCAGGCCCTGGACCCTTAGCTCGTTCTCTTCGCGGCCCTCGCAGTCAGATTTGATGACCTCGGCCCTGTTTGTGGCCTCTGCCACACGAGCCCTCGTCGACATCCAGCTGCAGTCGGCATTTCGGAAAGTCTTCAAGACGCGTCGTTTCAGGCCGTAGTTGAAAGAGACCACGTACGCACTGATTTTCAGCATGTCGCAGTCGGGAGTCCTATGGTCGGCATCCTTTTCGTAATCGAAGAACTTCGGGAGGATCGTGGCAAAGGACTGGATCTTTTCCACGACTAGGAGGGCTTGGCTGAACTCGTCGCATTGTCGGAAGTTCTTGTCAACATGGCGTGCCCGTACTTCCCATATGGGCCATGGCATTCGGGCACTGGGGCTACGATGTTCCTCACAACGGGGCGATTCGAGCCCTTGACTATGATTATTTTACTGTTATTATTATGATAGTAGTAGTATGATGATTTTTGACAATGATTATGACTACTATTATGAAATGCCACACGCTGCAAGAAAACTTGCATCCGAACATGATGCACAAAGTATGCCCGAAGTCACAACGAACCCCAAAGGAGTTCACAATGGGTCTACCCGTGTCGAACCAGTACTGCGCACAAGGATTCGAATATGTTTTGAGCTTCGACCCTCAACAGAAAACCCTGCCCGCCGTCGAATCACAAGCTTGTGCCTTCGAAGGAGCAGTCGCTTTGCTTTTCGTCAGAAGCACATAGCTGGTATCTGCTGTGACCCTGAATTCTGCTCCGGTGATGCATTTCTTCCACGCCGACATGAGGACGTTTCCAACCGCCACGTTCGAAAATATCCGAACCCGGTGAGGACATGTCGCCACTCCTCCCACCAGAGAAACTCAAGCCGGCGGAAGTCAAAGACGTGGACGGTGCGGTGCCGATGGCTGCTGAGAAACGGGTCTAGGCTTGTATGTTGGCTGAAGAAGACTAGTCACTAGTCGGCTGTTGCGAGGGTCACAGCATCGATCACGGATTGCTTTGCAGGAACCTAGAAAATCAAATTCAGATGAGAGTTGCTTGGAATGTCGGGTTGCTTTTCAAGGGCCTTCGTGTGTATTGTCAGAGTACTGGTTGGTTGGCTCCCCTTCAAGACACACCTTTGAGGTTCCCTGTGCGAATTCCGTTTTCCATCCGCAGCAGGTGAGCTGAAGCTTGTCGCCCGGCTCCCGGCCGAATCTGCCACAAAAATAATTACAGATACATTAATGCAGTCCTCTTCCCTTTTGAGTTTGGACGGCGCTCCGTCGTTAGCAACACCAGTCGTGCGCCACGTTGGTAGCTAAGTGGTTTCGGTATGAAGCTATGAGGTTTACTACAGAGTGCGAAGGGATGATCATGCGGCTACGCGTGTCGAATTGAGGCATATCGGCATCAGACACGGTACAGGATTCGCCGCTGTTGCTGGCTTTTTTGAAAGTTGGTCCTTCCGGCATTGGCAGATATTCGAAGGTGCAACTGATGCCGCAGGAGATCATCAAATGGAAGGTGGGTGGCATGATGATGTGGCTCAGTTATGGTCGTTGTTTGAAGCCTATGTGCACCCTCGTGACGGCTGGTGTCTCACGCATCTCTGGAACGCAGGATATCAAGCTTGCCTGGCCCCCAAAGTTCACTGCTGCGCAGCAGCTGAAGCTCCTGACAAGTTGCCGGAGATCCCCGATGTATAAAGCCAGAAGAAAATTTCGCAGTAGGGCGAAATGGGTTTGTCGAGCGAGGTCAAACCCATCTCGATGGGAAGCTTCGGAGAGGTCTTCTTAGCCAGGTGCACCCGAGCTTTCCGGGAAGGCTGAGGGATAAAGAGACTGAAGGCCAAGATGGCCAGTGCAGGGTTCAGCTTCCGAAGGGCTCGGATGATATCTTCGGCTCTTTGAGCACTTTGACAGTTCCGAGAATTGTGTCTGCATGGCGTAGGTGGAGTTGCAGATTTGGTGAGCTCACGGTGTCGTGAAAAATCTCGGTCGGCCTTGCGAGGTTGAGAAACCTCGATGTGAGTTCGGTCCTCAGTACATGCTTGCCTCGTTTCCACGCTGGGACTTGCACCGAGCGATGATTCAAGCCAAGGTGTGAAGAGAAGCCTGCTGCGCCCAGATGGGTCGATGACACCGGACGGGCTGAGCATTACGGGGCGCCACGAAACTTGCAAATCTGACGGAAGATGAGTGCTGGTTTGCCTGGAAATGCTGCAGTGAGGTCTGAGGGGCGGGGGGGGGGGTTGGCCTCCGAATCCCGCAGTTCCGTTGCAACTAAGTTTCAGGAGCAGCTGCGGAACCTCGAGCGGGAAATCAACTCCTACAGGCTCCCCCGAGTCATGCCGAAGTGCGGGCCGTCCCTGTTCTGGAGTCAGGAAGCTGAATCAGACCCAGGCCCCGTGCATCGTCAAGTGCGCCTTTGGCTGCGGACGGGTGCATTGACGAGTGTCGGTTGCAGTTTCATTCAACATCATGCCGCAACAGATCTTAATCGCATCTTCACTTTCACGGCAGGTTTCAACACACACACACACACACACACACACACACTGGAAGCATGGGAGAAATTCCAGCAAACAAATTTGCAAAGCTGTCTGTCGTACGTTCTCCTCCGCAGGTACATCGGCTGCATTCTCGAGCATCCGAACCTGGCCGTCGTTACAGAGTGGGGACCTCAATCCTCGTCTTGCGAAGTTGACCCAACGTGTTTCGAATCAGTGAAAGCACTGTGTTCAAAGATCCTGAAGTGAGTTTCTCGCAAAGCGCTTGCAACGATGGTCGTCACCACGCTTGGCAAGAGACTCCAGGCCGCGATCAACGCTGCAAAGTTAAGTTAGCGAGGATACTCTACCAACGGTATCAGCTACCTGAGCAGGATTATTTGAGAAGATCAGAAATGCCAGCAGCAGCAGAAGCACCAGAGGCAACAGCAAGCAAGAGCAGGCGCAGGAGCATGAGCTTGGAGGAGAAATAGTCGTCACCGACGGCGTAGCAGTAGCAGCAGCAGCAGCAGCAGCAGCAGCAGCAGCAGCAGAGAGTGACAATGATGCCGCCGCAGCGGTAGCAACATCGGTCGCGAAGCAGTAGACACTGCAATCAATCCCGGGAGCGATCGAACTCAAACAAGTACGGCCAGCAATACCATGGTCGTTCGATTGATTCGAAAGCCCACTGCACTGCAAACCCGACATGATAAGACCAAGACAGACACCCCCAGTCGCAGGATCCTTAGTTTGGACATCTCCAGGAGCGGACCCCGATTGCGTTACAAGCTGAGGTTTCTGCCAAACGGCAATCTCTTCGATCTGCTGCAGCTTGGCTTCGCTTTGGTTCCGGAAACGGTTTTCGGGAGATGATGCAATGATTCATGCATGCTTTGCACAGGGGGTTCCTATGTAATGTCGGTAAGCACTGCACATTTTGTCGAAGATTGTCGACGCCCCCATCTGACCCCTTCAGCCGGACGCTCGTTCCATCTTGTCCCACTCCTGACATTGGTGTAAGCATGGATGTACAGATGCCTGGCTGCTGTGCTGGGAAAATTTTGATGTTTGGCCGCATGATATCACAAGAAAGCCCGGGTGCGTGTAGTGATAACAGTGACAGAGTGCAGAGCGAAACAATCAGCACCACTGATGCGGCTTTGTTTGATCGGGGCGGAAGGGACTGCAGACATCAGGGAAGACTAGACAAATGTCTTCAATGTTGTCAGAACGTTGGGCCTGAAGGCATAATGGCAGTACCCACCTTGTCTGTGAATATGAGAGTCGAGAAGATGCAGACCGAAATGGCCCGGCATGGCAGCAACCGCCCGGAAAACGACGCATGCATCGCCTTGCAATGACCTCACTCTATAGGCAGGGTGGATCTCGAGTGATTTCACAGGTTCATCCAGCGGGTCAACCTCAAAGCTGCTTTGAGGCGGGTCGGAGCTGTCTTTCTTCGGACTGTAGTAGTATAGAACACATATCCGAAGCGACAAAAAGGACAACGAATCTCCGATGCATTTCGACAAAGGACGAATATTGCAGATTTAACATGATTTAACAGGGCACATGCCGGGATGTCTGTTCAATAAGTTTGTGTCGTCAGGGTTTAGTTTCGGGTTTATAGGGTTTCAGATTTAGTCCTTGAATGGCGTGCTTTCGGGCTTGAGGTTTTGGGCTCAGCGGTGCATCTATAAGGTTGAAGGCTGAGGTTTAGAGCTTTTGCCATGAATTTTTGGTGATCACTCCGGGTGCCATGGCTCACGAGGGTCAGAATATCTGCTCTCTGCCATCAGAGCCAGCCACAGCCACGCCAAGACTTGTCAATCTTGTCTACAAAATCCAAAGCGCCGAAGTAGATTAAAGACTATCAACATATCCGGACCCTCACCGAATAGCAGAGCCATATCGCAATGAGTTGCTCTACAATTAATTACCTGGATGAGACGACTCCAAAACCCGCCCATGCCCTGCATCCACAAAGGTTCCGTTGTGCTTACCCTATACCCAAAAAGCAGTCCCCGCGAAATCCACGTTGCGACCTGCGTGGACCGCGCAGCCCGGTGCAGGTTGAAGATTTCGTCTCAAGTGACCAACGCCGTGGGTTTCATGCACAGGCAGGGAGTCCAAGGTTGCAGGCTACTTTCTTGTGGCTCAAGGCTTAAGGATCTCATATCGAGGGTTTCAGGATCTTTAGGGCTTCAGGGTTTAAGCTGTCAAGAGGTCTACACGATCCGCTTCCCTTGAGCTCCCTTTGAGAGCTCGGGTGCAGACTGAGCAGCACTGTGCTCTAGACTAAAGACTGTTAGACTTGTCAAGCGGATGGTTTCGGGGATTTCGTGGGCGAGGCGTGGCTTAAGCGCCCAGCCCTTTGACTTTAGTCCTTGGAGAATGAGATGTCTCTTTTCAAAACGTCCTGACACACAGGCCTGGAGAACTCGAAGCAACGCTGGAGAGGTGTTTCGGCCTATCCGATATGGTGGTAGGTTGCAGGTGATGTCGAGCAGGTTGCCAGCACGTTACATGACAGTATGGTAACGTGGGATCACGATGAGGACGATGATGATGATGATGCTGATGATGGTCATGCTCATGGTCCGTCATGGTGACGCTGACGAGGAGGGTGAGTGTGATGGGTACGTAGCAGCTGTTGCTGCTTATCATGATGGCATGGATATCAGTGATGACAAAGATTGCGATAAGTGTACTGACCAGGATGAGTTTGATGATTGCAGTGACGGTAGCTCGGTGCGGCGTAACTGCAGATTCCAACTCTTCTGATATGCCAAGTTGCGATCCCATCATGATCCACCGGGACCTGAAGACGCAGAACCTGGTGCCCCAACTCTTCGCTGCAGTGTTGCACCACCTGAGTTGGTGAG